TTTTTTTTTTTTCTTCATCTAACTTTGACCGAAAGAACTGGAAGAAACCTTCGATCGAAAGATATATCTCGCGCGTCAAACGCGAAATCTGAGATTCGTTCTTGTATATAGGAGGATCGAACGTCTATACGAGATACACAACCAATAAACAACGATGGACAATGTTTAACTTAGTCGGCTGTAACCCGAGGAATAAATAAATCCAATGCACCTTTTTATTTTAGTTACGTTATCTTCTGTCTGAGATCGACAGAAAGCGGCTGGTCGACAGTGCGTTTGCATAGCGACGTGTTCTAAAGATAAACGTGTGTCATAGACAGGCATTTAACACGAAAGTGGCTAACACAGTGGACGATCCACGCCGCGTAGAAAGTACATAAGTCTCGTTTCCGCGGTATCATTCGGTATCGTTCTCGATGGATCGTTGAAAAACTGGTTTGTAAAGTAAAGTTCATTAGTGCGACGCGGTGGGGAATCGCGCTTCTTATTTACGTGCGCGGCTGTTACGACGCGCCTGCATAAAGTTTCATTTGCACGTTGCATTCTGGGAAAACTGTTGACGGTAGCGATAAATTGGCCTGCAGCTTATCTCTCTTGTTATCTGTTATTTATCCTTTTTTTTTTGTTTCTTTTTTCTTTTCTTCTTTTTTTTTTTTTTTTTTTTTTTTTCCCCCCCGGAGCGGGCACGCTTTGTAGCGCTGATAAATTGTTTCAACTGGGTCATGCGTTCGCCGCTGTTCGTTTTTGTCTTTCATTTATCCGCGGAATTTCTGCCGTGCCGGAATTGTTCCAAATTTATCGAATTCTCCGTGGCGTTTAAACGCGAGAAAATTGAAAGGCGAGACTATCACCGCGTCGAATTTTTTTTTCCTTTCTTTCTTTTTTTTTTTTCCTCTTTTTTCTTTCTCTTTTTGCACGATTAAATTCCCATTATGACGCATCGTTGTTTCCCGTAAAATATCGTAAGAATAATTGTCTACCGTGGTAATTACCGTCATTAGGTTAATGCACAGGGCCGCAATGTGAACAGCGAACGCAATACTGCTATTACTTATCATTATTATTACTATTATTCCCTCATTTTGGTGGCTAACGAATTTACTGTCAGAAGAGAGTTTTACGTGCCTTTCCCGAGGTGTTCGAGATCGTAACGAGCGAACTTATGTTTATTTCGCTTGTGATAAGTCCAGGATGTAACGATTGCTCGCGGTTCTTCCCCACTCTCGTAACAGGTTGATCGTTTTGTTAATGAAACTTTGTAAATGTAGAAATCGAGTAAAAAAAACGTTTTTTTTTTTAAAACAGCAGGGAAACATATTTTTGTACAAACATTTTCACCTGAGAGATCCATTCGTCACAGTTGGACGGACTTGTGAATATTTTTTCCCAGCTACTTCCTTTTCGAGTAATTCTCGTGTACTGTGGCAGAAAGGAAGTATGCAGGATCAGATGTAGGAACGTGTCTATAGCGACGGCGTTAAATTTCTTTCGAGTGAATTCTTATTTAGATTTCATTCGCTAATTGAGTCGTTTGTCATGAATCAAAGTAGGCAGAATGTTATCAAGGTGATTTCTCAGAAACTCGATTATTTATATAGTGGGTCTCTGTGCAACGCGATGAAAGTTTTCTTAAGGGAATAACATTATATATCGATCGCGTGATATTTA